CAACTCGAGTTGCAACCAGAGTCATGGAACGGATTAAGTTCGTAACTAGAGGTACCACTGTGTGTGTGTGTGCGTGTGTGTATGTATGTGCGTGTGTGTGTGTATGTATGTGTGTATACACACACACACACACACATTTTTTAAGAAATAAAAGAGAGCACTTTAAGCCATTAATTATTCCTATTATTTATACTGAACAAATGTTATCCATGCTGAAATAAGACCAGACTGAAAGCATCTCAAACATTTAAAATCCAACTGGCTGCAACATCTAGCTAATCTTGGCTGATTCCAAAACATTAAGCAGGGCTGGACTCAGTATTTGGAGACTATCAGAAAATCTGAAGGCTTTATTGGGAAGGCCAAAAAACATTCTGAAAATGGTTATGTAGTCACCAGGAGTTAAACATGACTCAAGGGAGAATTTATCTTTTACCTATGTTCTACCTGGGGGCGGGGGGGGGAGATAAAATGTAGAAGAATTCATTAGATTTTGCAGATCTCCAAATTCCAAGTCAAAATAGATTACTTCAGATTCGGTTGGGCTCCAAGGAAACTTCAGATTTCTATAAAGTAACCTAAACCAAATTAGGAATATTCAGAAATTTTGTGAATACTTCTGAGCACTGCAACAAGCTACATCATTTTTAATTAAAAAAAAAAAATCAGGATGGGAAGAAAGGAGAAAGAGACAGATCTGGTGACATACAGTTCTATAATCTAAGATTCTAGGCTCCAACTACCTCCAAAGTCTTAAATTGCTTATTTATTCAGTGAAATTCCTATGCAACAGTTATCTATAATTTGGAAAGCTATTGTATCAGTAGAAAGCAACTGAAACCTAATTCTGTTGACAATTCTGTTAAAGACTGGAGATAATTCTGTAGCAGAAGATGGGTCCTTGCTGTTTAAGCATCTTATGTATGTATTCAGCTATTCCTCTTCCTCACTATTACAACTTTTAATCATAAACTTCTCTTTCTCAAGTTCATGTGAGAAATCATAGGAGTTTTCATTACATATTCTGTTAAAAAATACTCATAGGATTAAAAGGTTTCACAGTGTGCCTCTCTAATGAATGAGAACTGGAAAATTTCACCCACCTTCTGTGCTTTTATAGGTCCTGCACGGGGTTGCTTTTGCCTTTGTTCTTTTGGTTCAAGAAGCTTCTCCGAGGCCTTATCTGAAACTGGGCCAACTTCACTATCACTCCCACTAGAGGCTGGAGCTCCAAACTGAATAGTTTCTATCCCCAAATCAATTCCACTTTCCTGTCCAGGAGGTGTTCCCTAGTAAAGGCACCAAAATTTTTACTTATAACTCAAGCAGGCTTTTGTGCTGTATTGCAGCATTTAAATATTTGGGAGAGGTTATATATAAAAAACTGGAGAAACTATATTCATTAAATTTTTAACCATTTATTAAGAATATTACTCAGAAGCTTAACTCATGGAAATCAATAAAAGTATCCTGGTTGGGGAAAATAGCCACAATCAAGATATCTATTTTACTTCTAAAGCAATTCTCCAGGAATCGTGGAAGTTATTGAACGACGTTATATGCGAGGGTAAAATCACACAGGTTAGGACTAAAATTGCTTATAGCAATTCAGACAAGGGAGGAGTAAGAATTCCTAATTTACAATGGTATTACAATGTAATACTATTGAATAGTATGTTTGTTAATATAACGTCAGAAGTTTTCAAATTGGCTTCAGATTGAAATTATAGTAATGGCTTAAAAATAGATCAAGTTAGAGCATTACAATTTTCTAGTTGTTCGAACAAAAAGTTAGGTAAATACTGACCCTTTTTTGTATTGTATAATATCTTTGTAGTGTGGAAGAGAACAGGTAAAACTAGTAGTAAGACAGTATTTACTCTCTTGAATGCAGATACATCAGATTTTTTCAACAATGTCATCTGTCCAAAAACAAGGATATAAACACTAAATTTGAAGTATGCCTTCTTAAAAAAAGGACTTTAGGAAAAAAGAGATAGAATCTCTAATACTTATGAGATTTTCCATGAAGTATCAATGGGCATTCTAGATTATTTAAAAATAGGTTAGAAAACTGACTTAAATACTGAATTCCACAGTAATTTTTCAACTTCTTCATGGCTAAAAAACCTTTTAAAATCAGTATCAGCTAAATGAGAGAAACTTCACAGATGGTAAATCCAACACTTAAGAGGATGAGTTTAATAAAACCAGGAGCAAGACCAAAGTTCTATGAAAATGTAACAAAATTGGAACGTATTTGGTATGGTCTTGTGTGAAAATGCAAACATTGTGGCAAAAAAAATTGTATTGGAATAGGGCAAATAACTAACCAAAATGTTATGCTATGCCCTAGGTTAGATTTATTATCAGCATTCAAGAGAGCAAATGAAAAATTGCAGCATAAAGAATTAAAAATATTTTTTTCCTAGTCACATACGGAAGACTGGAAATAATCTTTCCATGTCAGTCTGGGCTCAATGTTAGCAAACAGCTCTAATGGAGATACTGACAGGAAAAAAAGGACAAAGTTGTGGGATAGTTGAAGATGATTTCTTTAAAAGTTTCATAAACTTTATGGAGTACACACAAGGTGCTATCAATTTATATACTTCTAATGCATGCACAGTAAATTATTGTCAGATATTTATCAATTTAAAAAGAATCACTGAGCACTGTATTGTTCTATACTATCATTTATTATTACATTTAATGTATTAGGAAGGATCTATTATACAGTAACAAAATTAGCTAATTGTACTATGTAATTAAAATTTAAAAAAATGATATCATATTTTAAGTTATAATCATACAGGATGAACTTCCATATTCATCAGATCTTAAGATGCACCACCTATTCAGCCAAAAAAAGATGCCTGCAGGCACCTTTCATGTCATTTTTCCTTTATACAAGTGAATGAAGCAGTAATTCTAATCATTATTCATTCATTATGAAGAACAAAAGCACCGTAGAAGAAACAGCAGGAGGGAAATGGCATCTCATTTTCATCAGAGACTACAGATTCTATGTCAGGGAGAAAGCTTTCACCCCTTTCAGTGGATCAGTTCCTTTGATTTGAATGGGGAGATCCTTTGCTAAAAAATGACTGAGATTGTCTTTAAAGACCTCTGGGAGTGTTTTCCACACCTTTCCAGCTATTTTTCAGCTAGGGAGGGTTTTTTTTCCCCTATTCATGTCAACAGAACTATGTTCGCCAGTCACTTGTAAAGGAGGAAAAACACTGCCTTCTCTTTTCCACTTTGTATATCTATCCCTTTCTTTATGTCTATACCTGCCTGGATCTGTCTGTGCCTATCTCTGTCCAAATGTCTTGCTGTATCTATGAGAGAAAAAAGCAAAATTGTAGGTTTCCAATTTGTTGTAACTGGAGAAATCTCCATTATAGCAAATTTGTAACAAACCATTCCATTACAAAGTGGCTGCATCACAATGCTTTTTAAAAAAAAACTGAAATGTGCCCAACAATGCAACTTCTAATATCTGGCCTAGATAAAGGTTTTGCTGTTTTAATATTTATGCATGGCAAGTTTTAAATCAAAATATATGCTATTCACTGTTTGCTTAATGTGTTACCTCTGGTGACGTAACTGATCCAAATGATGTCAAAGGCTTATTCCATGCACTGACAGAAGGTGGCTGTGGAGGACTAATGGGTCCTACTGAAAGTCCAAAGAATAAAATGAATCAGAACTTTTGAAAGTGAAACACATCAGCAGAAGTTCAGAAAAGTTATCTATAGATACCTCCCAAGCTCAGGAGGTTGGAGAAAAAATAAACCTCTCACTATGGTGTATAGCTGAATTCTCTTTGAAGAAAAACTCCTGGAATTGGTCCAGAAAAAAGCAGAGGAACACAGCATGTCAAAGTAGTAAAACAGTTCCCATTATATTTTGGGCAACATTCACACATTCAAAGACCAAGTAGTAGATAGGAAACTTACCCACTATATTTGGAAGGGTCAAAAAAAAAAAAAAGATAATGATACACATTTTAAGGATGTGTGATTGAACTCTGCAGCTTTACAATCTAATTATTTCACATGACAGTATCATATGAAGAGCTGAACATTTCATGCCAAGAAGAACTGAGAAGCCCAGGGAAGGAAGTTAGTTATTCAACACTTTAAGCATACATTTTTCTTTCTCCTGCCCATGCAGCCAGATGGAAAAAGAGATCTCTGCTTACATTTTTTAGAGATGTCACTGAGGACGGTTGTAGGGGGTACTTTATTATCCCATAATTCAGTTCCTACAGCATTATGGGCAGGTGCATTCTGCAGATTTTTGCTTGTTCCTGCATAGTCTGTACAGACGTTCACTGCACAACTTGCTTGTGTTTGTGGCTGAACTGAAGTTTGTGGACTTGGAATCTGAGACACACATTGCAATGGGAGTTGCGGTTGAGCCTGACCTTGTTGAGCAGCAGCTGCAGCAGCAGCAGCCGCCGCCGCCGCAGTTGCCTGTTGTTGCTTTTTGGCAAACCTGGGTGGTAGCTTAGAATTTGGGCATCTTCCCTTTTCACTTGAATTCTTTTTGGTCCAAACCTGAGAAAGAAAAGATTGTTGAGAGAGGTGATCCACTAAGGAAAGTTGAAACTGAAATGCTTAAATAAATGGCAAAACGATGTACTTGTTCCAAATAACATCACATTAACTCAAGGAATATATTTTTGACTGCTGGTTAAAAAAAATGATTAGATGAATTTATGGAGCACAAACAGACTGATTAGACATTCCTTCCTACAAAGTACAAGGTGTATTTCCATGGCTATTATATCAACTACCAACCAGATAATTATGGACAACCTGGACTGAAGAGTAGCAAACAAATACATGAACAATTTAAAAGACACCATGTGAATCAGTTAACAGAATAGTTAGCTGGATCCAGTATGGTAATTCTTATGGTTTGCAAGGAAAGATGTTTTGGGAAATTATGGCACCAATTTCAAGTAGAATGTTTTCTGAATGAGCACCATTTACTCCAGATGTTACTCAATTTCAACTCCTGGTCCATCCAGTCAATATGAATCATGGCAAGGTATATGCAAGCAGTCATAGTTCAACAACATCTGAAGAGCCACAGAATACCCAATACTTTCTATAAGAAAAAATACAAAAAAAGTAATATTATGCATGATCTCAAACCTGTACTGTTTGTTCCTCTTTTTTTCTACGTTCTTCATCTTGCAAACGTTTTTGCTGTTTTTTTGACACTACTTCAGTAAAGCCATCATTGTTCAAGCTGGACTGGGAATCTTCAACCACTGTCACTTCAGGGTGGTCATCAATAATGACAACGCCTATAAAAAAAAGTCCAAATGTTAGACTTACACCTAGACACCAGTTAAAAGCAATGGTCATCATCACAGCTTTGGTTTATGCAGTGGGACAGAAAAAGAACCCACCATTATTCTATTGGACGTTTCATAAAGAAAGCATTTCATAGAATCACAGGGTTGGAAGGGACCTTGGAAGTCTTCTAGCCCAACCCCACGCCCAGTGCAGGAAACCTCATACCATTTTGGATAAATGGCTATCCAGTATTTTCCTGGAAACCTCCAGTGAAGGAGCATTTAAGAATCTTAAGACGCATATAAGAATCTTACAGAGATTTCCAAATACATACTTGCATAGTTATTAAGATCAAACTGAGAGATTGCATCAACTTTTTCTTTGGGTTTCTTTGGCCCAGACTTGGGCTCTTCCCGTTTCTTGTTGTTGCTATCTTTGGAACCTTTCAGCACAGCAGCACCGTTACCATTTTCCTCCAGATGTAAACTGTTGTTTATTGGTTCAGTGCTAATCATAACAGGTATCTGTTCTTCAAATGGTCTGTATAAGAATCAGAACCAATTAATAAATAATTAGTAAAAGCATAGTAATGAAGATATAGTGGTATTTAGTACATTATTGAACATTACCCATATTCTAGTTGAATTACTAGAATAATTACTTCATTCTATGTTTTACAGTAAAGCTATTCTGTCATTTCTTGACAAATACAGAAATGTTTCTCCCACATGGTTGCAGCTCATGCCCAAGATTTTGGAGTGGAGAGGTAAGGAAGAGGGAATGTAATGGAGTTCCAACCATAGAGAAATATTTCTCCCTCATTTGGCAGCAGAATTTCACTTTTTTATGATCAACCCAAATTAAGATTTGCGCAATTTTTTTTTATTTCAAAATGTTTTGTGTACAATTAATCCAAACAGGAGTAGCAGCAATGTGAAAAGGAAAACACATCTAGATGAAGATATCTATTTTCCTGTCTAACATGTTTTGGATTGCATTAGTTCTGCTTTAGAAAATCACAGCTATAGTATAAACTCAAGTCTTTCACACGTTTACACACAGTCACCATTAAAATCATGCTGCAATGCCTTAACCATTCTATGGAGCACAAAATATACTTACTGTAGCTTGACAATATACAGGATGCCAATGATTAAATACTATATTTTGGTTAGAAGAATCTATTACTTTTAAAAAAAAATTATTTCAAGTTAGAGCTTTCTGAAAAAACATTACATTTAGCTCATAGGGGAAAATAATGCAGGAATATAGGAAAATATGCGAAATATTTTCTTTAGATAAAAATGCAGAAATGTTTGGTTGTAAGCCAGTTTTACACAAAATTGGAAACAAGTCCTTAACATTTCATATAGCAGAAATGAAATAATAGCAGTGCTTTTTAAAAATTTCCAGAAGTCTTTCAAAACATAAGCAGCTTTTCTAGGTAGCATGGAAATGTACAAATGAATATTGTATACTATGTAACTTCTTATTGCAAGGAATACTGTACTTTCTTTATTGGACAACAATGAACATAATATCATTAAATTCCTAAGTACCATTCCAAGTTTTGTTAAAGAAGAAAAGGAAACATCTTACAACTTTTCTGTATCTTTTGGATGGCATTATGGATTATTCCCTTCCCTATGATAACCAGCAGGATTTTAATTATGGCTTTAGAGCCAGAATAAAACAAGCAGGATCCTATTAATTTATCCCTCCCTGGGGAAGACCTAGTTCTCCAGACTAGCTATTTCAATGTAGATCAAGGTGAAGTGGGTCTCTGAGATCCAAATGTCTGTCTTGGTTTTGTCCAACACTGTTAATTTTGGGAAAGTGACTTCTTTGCATCCTTACTGAAGGTGGAAGGCATGATAAAGTTAATCAAGGGGTTCCCTGGCTACACCCTTGGTAGCTGCCTCCAAATGTGACAAAATGAAGGTACGCAAAAAGGCTGTCATAGCCAGAGCATCCATCTTTCTTCTAAGAAATTAGGTCTTTTTCTTGTAAGGAGTTTTTCTAAGGAAAAGATTCAGCCTGAAGGTTCTAGGATCCTGAGAAGGCTTAATCAGTCTAATTTAAGATCTCAGATCACCTCTTTTTATCCTGAACCAAGGGTTTCCTATGGCTACAATTCAAGTGACAGTAGCATGAAATTCAAACACATCTACTTGTTCCAATGAGGAATCTGTCAACAAAACAGCTGCAGGAGCAAGTGCTAAAATCATATTTAATGCCCTTTGACATGTCATCTGAACCTGTTAGCTCTTCTCTGTAAATATAGACTGCCTATTAAAATGAAATTCACAATTGGCTCCAAAAGCTGCAACTGAAATTTCAAAGCTCCTCAGAGCTGCCTCAGCACTTTTAACACACAAGTTCCTGGGACCTCCTTCACCTTCAGTAAGGACTGCAGAAGGGATCAATGTGGCACCCAAATGCCCTCCATTGGTACTCCAAGAATAATCAGGTTCTTGTCTTTGACTGACAGACTGCCTTTCTCCCATGTGCCTGGAGTTGGGAAATAAATGGTGATGGTTCTGAGGAATATTGGACATGGTCCATTACTGCCCTTTTGACGCAAAAGAATGGTGCTATTGTTTCCTTAATGTAGAACTCACATAAACTCAGAGAAACAAATCTGTGGAAAAAGTGTTCCTGGTTGGCTGAAGTAACTTCCTTATACACTTCACATAATTCCCTGTCTTCCTAGCATCTTGGCTCAATCCTAGTTCTTGCTGATCAATGCCTTACTACTATAAAGCTCTAATGCTTTGAATCTCTCCAGCCAGAATTATTTCAACCAACAAGATCATCCTGAGAAAACTGCAGCCCTATCTCAGATAGGTTTTGGCAGCTGCTGCCAGGGGATGCTGCTTTTCCGTTGAAGCACTTACTCTCTGGAACAGCTTCCCTGTTGACATCTGACTCTTAGACAACATTAAAAGCAAAACAAACACTGAAGATAGAGCTCTTCCACAGGGCTTTTCCTTAGTGTATGGATGCCATCTGTTTTTTTGTTATTATTAGACATCTTAAATGGTTAACAAACTCTTCAGCCTAGGACTCATATTTAAACCTACTGCAGATGTTTTAATACTCAATTTGTTTGAATCCTGTTACTGTGGATGTCTTACTGCTTGTTACTGTGGATTTATGTTTTTCTGAAAACTGCTCTGAGTCAATTCTTTGAAATTGGGTCCAACATTTTTCTACAAAAGGAAAAACTTCAGAAAAATGAGGGGTCTGATAAAAACAGACTACAAAGAAAAGTTAAGAGGGTTAAACCTCTTCATAATGTCTGAAGGTTAACTAAAAATAATTGAAGTTCAACCATATTCCACCACATGAGAAAGGGTCACTAACTTGGATGGTTTTAAAAGAGGACTGGAGGACAGGTCTATCAAGAGCTATTAGTTCTGAGAGTTAATGCCACCTCTGGCTTGGGTATATCTGGTTCAATACTGTGAGAAAAAACAATGGTCTAAGATGGCATCTGGCCTGATTGGTTATGTTTTTAAGGGATAGAAGTTGATTACAAACTGTATGAATCAGCAGAGCGATATGGCTGCAAAAAAAACAAACAAACCAAATGCAGTTTTAGATTTTGTCTACAGAAGTATAATCTTCAAATCACAGGAAGTATTAGTTCCACGTGGTTCTGAATTAGTCAGACCTTACTCTGATACTGTGTTTAATTCTGGGCACCACAGTTCATAGAAGACTAAGGGAGGATATGATAGGTAACACTCTGAAGAAGTGTTATACAGGAATAAGTCAAGATCTGATCTCTATCACACCAGCATGCATGAGACAGAATTCAAGTTGCATGAAGATAGATTCAAACTGAACATGAGAAAACATTTCCTAATCATAAAAGCAATTGACAGCAGTACCAACTATCCAGAAAGATGGTGGGCTTACTCTGTCTGATGTGTTCAGTGAAGCCTAACCTGACATCTACCTGGGATGTTTTAATATTATAACTGAGATGATGGATATGTTGCACAATGTTTCAATTTAGAAATCTGTACCAACCAGGGGTTATACTTGATGTTTAAGAATTTCTGCCATTATAATTCTGTCTCCTCTTTCCTTCCATCTTCATAGAGAGAGAAGTGGCAGAGCAAAATGTGGTAGTGAGTGGGTAGAAAACACAATGGCTGGAAAGGAGATAGCTGCAAGGAAGTGAGGATGCCCTAAGAGTCACATCTACTTTCCCCTCCCAGTGGACCACCTGCAGCCCAGAAACTACACTTTTTACACTAGTGTTCAACTAGGCTGACAGTAACGAAGTTTTTTACAGAAATCACTAGAACACTGTGAAGATGTTCTATCCTATTTCAAGTAAACTATATTATCTATTTTTAACTAGACAGCCAAAAAATTACCTGTTTTATCTCCCTTCTCACATATAAACTTTTAAAATGACTCTAGACCTATTTTCAAGAGTTCTATACAAGTGATCAGATATTATCAGGCATTGTCAGCTCTTGATTTCCAAGAAACCATGACAAGAAAAACTGAGAGAGGAGGAATTATCCTGCCCATTTTTGATTCTGCCTTTGTCTGTAATACATGTATCTCTTCCCCCATCAATTCCCCCTCCCTCCTGGAAATATGCCCTGCAACAACAACTATTTCCCCATTCCAATCTTTTAAGTGGAAGAAGTAACTCTCAGAGCTATGCAATACTACAGATTCAGTTAAAAAAAAGAGCTAGAATGCATGAAAATGTGAACACAGCATGTCTATGACTCATTAGACTCAGCAACATCTATTCTTAGGATTGTGCAGCTCTGTGTTGAGAATTCCACTGCAACTGTACAACCTGGGAAACAGAAGTGGCTGCTTTAATGAGTTGCAGTGAAGTGCTGCATTCATGCTCCTGCATGTTCTGAAACACTTATGAATCAAATCTGAAGCATTAACTTCTCTTCATATTATTTTTAAAAATCATTTAAAATTCCAGCAAAGTAAAATTGTAACTTTTTATTTTAATGGCTTTTATTTGAAGCCTTCTACATTAGGTTCTTGTAGCAAACACACTTACCCCCTTTTCCCAGGTCTTATTGGAGGGCCGCTTCTCCTTTCATTTCTTGGCCCTGAAAAGTTTCGTCCGGATTTGGATGGGCCACTATTGCCACGGCGATTCTGCCGATCAATCCCAGGTCTCTGACTGGAAAAACTTCTCTTAGCTATTTCTCTTTTGGGAATTAATGTGTTTTCTCCTGTCTTAACAGCTCCCTGTGCTGTGATGTCTGCTAATTTTTTTTCATCCCTCTCACGTCTCTCATTGAAATCACTACTTTCTGAAGCGGTTTCCCACTCTTCATTTGCCTGGTCTGAAGAGTTTTGATTGGACAAGTCAGGTGTTTTACTTCCTGAAACCTCCAAAGTAGTGCTTGGCTGCTCATTAACAGCATTACTCACTGCCACACTTGATGATGAACTGGTTGTGACTTCAATTATTTTTGATGCTGCCTCTCTTTCTTTTAAACGTCTAAAGCGTGGTGGCTTATCTTGCCTGGGAGGTCGTGCAGGCCTTTGTCTTCGTGGTCGTTCCCTTACAGGATCAAATTTCCTTTCAAATTTTGCAGGAGGTCTTTTATCCAACTGTATAGGGCCATAATGCTCATGCCTTCGTTGTGGTTCTCCATCTTCAACTTTGGAGGTTTCCGTTTGCCTTGGGTTCCACTGATTCTCTCTGTATCCTGGTCTCCTAAGAATAGATGGTCGAGGTGGGCGGCCAACTGGATCTCTTCCACCACGCCTAAACATCCCTCCTCTGCCACGTCTAGAAGGTTCTCCTTTAGGAAGAAAACCTGGTTTGGTCTTATTCTCATCTTCCCTTACATATGTTTTATCTACAACTCTATGGTCCCCTCGAATGTTATTTTCAGGTTTGAAAGATAACAGGGCTTTTGAAGGTTTTTTAACATCTACCCTTTCTTCTCTCTTTGTGTGTTTGCCTTTGCTTAAGCTGTCCTTGTCTGAAAGAAGAGTGTCACTTGCACTTTCATGTACTTCACTGTCAGAGTCAGTTTCTGAGCCTCTTTGTCTTCGCCGTTTTGGAACAACTTCAAAATCAGAGCTCTCACTACGGGTTTCACTCTCCTCTCTCTGCCTAAGAGGACCAGAAGGGACATGTTCTACTCTAGGTTTAGTATCTCGGTAATGTGGATAGTCTCTATTGTGACCTCTCCCACCTCGACCCCTGCCTCCATAAGAACCTCTATAGCTGCGCCCCCTAGAGTAATATTCTCCACGCCCTCTCCCTCTGTATCCTTGGTCTGGGAACCAGTCCCTAGCTTCTTTCCAGTATGTTCTGGGAGATAATCCAGGTTCTCTTTTTACTGGTCTGGTTTCAATACCAGGTCTTTCTACAGTTCGTTCTTTGTTAATTACTTTTTCTGGCTGTTTTTCTTCCTTTATACTGACAGGTTGTTGAACCGATAACTGTTGTACAGTAAGTGGTGGAGCCTCAACTGCAGTTTGTGGACTGACTGGCTGGGGAACTGAAGGTGGAGGTGTTTGGATTGCAGCTGGCTGCTGAGATACAGGAAGTACTGCTGCTGCCTGCTGCACAATGAGAGGCTGCTGAACAGCAGGTGTAATTATAGATTCCGTGGGGCTGTCTGTACACTCTGAAGCTTGTAATGTGTTTTGCAATATTTTCTTGCCATCTGTAGTGGTCTTCTCTGGTTCTAACCTGGAAATTAGCATCTGAGGCTGCTCCCTTTTCTCAATTTTGCTGACTCTCTCATTTGTCAATCTTTCTCCCTCTCTTTCTCTCTTCTGTTCACGTTCTTCTCTTTGTTCACGCTCTTCTTTCATATCACGAAGAATAGGCTTTTTAATAGGACCAGATCTTCTCACTGGCCTGTCACTACCTTCCTCTCTTCTGCCGTACCCTGGCCTTGGACCCCACCTAGTTTCAGATTTAGGTTTAAAAGACTTTTCAGGTTTTGGTCCCTCTGACAACCTACTAGTTGTAAACCCCTCCTTTTTTTGCTTGCTGTCCACTCTTTCAAGCAGCGGTTCTTTTGTTTCAGTGTGTCTGTTGTTTAATTTTGGAACATTTGCCTGTGTATCACTCCCTGGCTCTTCTGACTTCAGAGAATGAGTTGATCCATGAGAAATGCTCTTTTTCAGAGAAGAATTACTCTCTTCTATAGGCACCTGCTCTTCTTTGGAGCTTTCTGAAACATTTCCTGCAGTTACTTCAAAACTTACTGTTGGTAGACATGTGTCTGATTGATGAGGCTGTGTATTTTCTAAAGATCTGTTTGAAGTCTGCTGTATGTTCACATCCTCAGATTCTTTGAAGAAGTCTGTCTTTATATGGGGGTCCAACTGATTTTCTTCTCCTGTGTATACCGCTTGAACAGTTATTTGCTCTTGATCCAAAAGTTCCTCAGACCTAGAGGAAACAAGCCACATTTTCAGCTGAAGACTTATCAATCTTCCTAAACAATATTAAACATAAAGGCATGTTTAAAATGTGGGTTATTTGTTGCATACTCAAAGATATCTATTGGTAACCCAATTAGTTCTGGAGATACTTTTTTGGGGTTGTGATAGAGATTTTCAACATTTTGAATAATCATACCTAAAAATACAGTAAACCTCACAAGTAACCCAGTGGATAGATATTTGGAAGAAACTGAAATAGCTGCTAAAATGAATATAAATCTATGTATGCAGGTAGTCCTCATTTAGCAACTGCCTCATTTAGCGACCATTCAGAGTTATGATGGTGATGAAAAAGTAACTTTACATCCAATCCTCACATTTATAACCTTTGCAAGTCTGTAAAGCAAAGGAAAGCTGAAGTAAGATCGTAAGCAGAGTCATGGATTCACTTAATGACCGCTTCGCTTAACGAGTGAATTGCTGTCCCAACTGTGGTTGCTAAACGAGGACTACCTGTATATAGTAAGAGTTTTAAATTTAGTTCATGACTGAACTATTTATAGATGTCCTTTACATCTTATAGCTAACATTCAGGGTCAAACTAGACAGGAGGGAGATGTGTGGACAATCTTTTATGAATTTTGTTTTTTTGTTTTTAAATGGAAAACAGTCAAGGAATCTACAATGCAAAAAGGAAGGGCAATGTCTCAGCTCTTTCACTGCCAAATATCCATCTGTTAATTCTAGTAGTTTAATGGAGCTGTAATTGCATTTACATTTTTCTATTACTTATCCAAGAGAGACAACTGTCCTGAAGAATATAGTTATTTCTAAGAAGAAGCATGAATTAGTAAAATTATGTTGATCCTTTTACATTATTGGAAATTATAGATATGCCTGAATGTACACGATGCCAGCACTATAGAAAAGAAAGCCACACTATACACAAAAACTGCAAGGATTACCTTATATCAACAGTTTCTTCGAGGATTTTGGGGGAGGTACTAGTCTGTTGAGGATCTGTGTGAGCATACGGTTCTGACCCCCACATCATACGTGATTCTGTCAGTGGTATGGCATGTTCCCTCGCTGATCGACTAACATGATCAAAAGAATCTGAACCAGTTCCTGTCCCCTCTATCTGATCCCTTCTCAGAAGTGGTTTAGGAGGTATAATTCCTGAAAAGGAGATAATCAAATTAAGATGCATAAATGCTAGGATTTGCATCTAATACCTTTAGCAAAGAAGTGTAAAATTATCAGCCCTTCGAGGTAGACCAGACTAGGAAACCAAAGTTATGAATCCTGCTACTACTTTTATTATAAGGTTACAGTAACAGAATCTTGCAAGTCTGAATGTGCCCCCCCCATTTATTTACAAGAGAACTAGGGAGGGTCATGCTTTCTCAAATGACATTTCTGCCTCGGCCTCAAATTTCTTTTGTCTGACTGTTGTCTAGGCTGCAGTTCTTCCTCCTGTTCCTCAAGGTTACTCTTACAGCCCATTACATACACTGAAAAACTGTCTATACAATTTATAAACAAGCATACATCCTTCAAATATACTTTGCTGTAGGACATATTTTCACAATTGAGGCATAGCCACAGAAGAGATGATATCCCTGGTAGCTATCCATTTATCCTCAAATAATGTCATTAGAGGAATGTTTCTAGTAATGACAGTAGCTTTCAACATATTTTCTTTGAAATAAGCAGCTCCTTGAAATGTCTAATCTCAGAACATTTAATTTGATGATCTGCAGTACAGACATTAAAATTACACCAAGGAAAAACTGGAGGAAAATGAAGTTCTATACAGTAAGAGTTATACCAGGATGCATAGGTGGCATATCCATAGCAGGTCTTCCTGACATCATTCTTGGATCCACGTAAGATTGCATCATGAGCCACCTTGGATCAAAGCCCATAGAAGCCAGATGTGGAGGGTGTGGTTGCATGGGTTGGTACAATGGTCTATGTGGTGGTGGGGGAACAGGACTGCTAGAAGGTTGTGATGGTGTAGATTGTGGTAAAACCCCTTGCTGCTGCTGTTGCCACTGCTGCTGCTTCATTTGCTCCTACAAAAAAGCAGATACAATCAGCTTTTCCTCTATACAGTTTCTTTCTTAGAAACCTCTGATATACTTAATTCACATTTTTTCAGTTACAATTGTTTTGGAATAGTATATATTTAATGTTCTTGGTGTCCAAACTTCCAACTCTTACTACGCTGGGAACTTTGGCAGCATTAACTAACTAAGGATGGATGGGATCAGATGGGATGGATAGATATCTCCTTAGTCATAGTTAATTTATACATTTACATATATAAATATGTAAATTCTGGTTGAAAATGGCACACAGATATAATCTACAGCTTAGGAAGAGCAATTAACATAAAATGCTGTACTAACTTTGGATCATGGAAACTATTACTTGTTCCATGGTGTCTTTATTCACTTATTTGACTCTGTAAATGAAACTGAATAAAATATGTACTACAAAGTACATGAATATAAGTATATATATAAAGTATAAATATAAAAGTATAAATATAAAGTATAAGATGAATGCATTACCTGTTGCCTCTGAAATCGTGGTGGCAACGATTTCTGAAACTGCTTTGAATAGCCAGAAGAAACGGCAGGACGAGGCTGAGCACCAGAATCAGGCTCACTTTCATGTGAATTGTCCCTTTCGTTCAGATTGCTTTCTTGCATGGTGGAAACAAGTTGATAATCTGTCCAAAGGCAAAGGTACAATTAGTGCCACATATGATTTAGGTCAAAGAATAACTAATAGACTGATGAGCAAAACAAAAGTATGTATTTTAGTCTTTTTAAAGAAGTTGTCACCAAAAGAGCTTACATCTCAAATTAGGCAAGCTTGTATTTAACCTAAGTATCAGTTTGCCTCTTCAACTTGTAAATGTTCATTGTAGATGTTCCAAATGAAAACTCTGCTGGCACATATGGGTGCTCTGCATATTGTTAGGTACTAAAACTGAGAAAATGTTTAAATTTATACTGTGGTTGACTTTCCAAGCATTGTTTTGCATGATTTCTATTTTAAATACATTTAAGAAGTGTGCTGTTCCTTATAAAATGCTATATGCCTACTTCAGGATGTCCAAAGCACTCAAGGGTAATGATCTGGCTGAGATTCCAGTATTCACAAACATACTGCTTGTTTCCAATGTGAGGTGTGGATCCTGTGCCTTCCCTGAGATATTGCTAAAACCCCAGCCAACTTGAATAAAGACAAGGAATGCTGAAACCTAAAGTACGACAATATCTGGAAGTAAAAACTTTGTTTTACATTAACAAAGGAATTGATACAGACCTCTCTCTTCCTCACTGATGCTTTCTTTTTCTTGTTTCTCTAATATCACTGGAGCAATGACAGACTCCTGAGACTCAGAAATTTCATCTTTAGGTTTGTCATCTGCTGTAGGTTTCTCTTCCACTTCTTCTTTCTCCTCTCTTTCTTTCTCCTTTTCTATTTCTTTTCCTTTTTCTTGGTTTTCTTTTTCGTTTATTTCCATGTCTATCAATTTTTCTTTCTCCTTTTCAAAAGCTTTTTCCTTTTCCTTTTCAATGTCTTTTTCCTTGATCTTTTCTTTTTCTTTCAATGGATCTTCCCGGGTTGGTTTTGGTACACACCCAAATTTCTCATTTAAGCGTTTTAATTTCTCAGCACATGCAGCTTTTCTTTGCTCCTCCATTCTTCGTTCCTCTTCTTCTCGCCTTTTACGGGCTCGTTCTACCGATGCAGATATTTCTGTTTGCTGTCTTCGCCTCTGCTTCCAAATCTCATCTTCATCTGGTACTGGCCTCGGAGGAAAGGAACCTTGTCTTCCTGGCCCTCCCATACGATCTGGAAGTGGATGCTATTTTTTTTAATTAAAAAAAAAGTAAACATCTAAACCAAAGTTATAAGATTAAATTCCCCTGCCTAAATGCATGAACAAAATGGCTCTTCAATTCTCTTAGTAACTCTGGAAGAGAGACTTCCAAGTACTTTGTCATATAATCTCAGGCCGGGTTTAATAAAAATAAGTAGTGCAAATTATAAATGGAAAAACATTCCTGTAGATTCTGGAATCCTACCTATTTTCATCAAAGAATCTCCAAAATGTACATACATTTAAGAACATTTTCAGAGTTAAGAGGTGCTTAAAATAATCCTTCTTCTGAAAAATAAAATGTTTGTTACCAAGAGCTTTATTATTTTGAACCCTGCACATGAATTAACTTTTAATTCCTTAGGCTTATTGACATCTAAAATTTAAGGAGTAGTGGTCTTAGCATATTGTATTCTAATTTTAATTTAAGATCAGAGTTTCAGCACAGCACTCAATGTAAAATAATTGAGTGCAATAAAAGAGGAAAAACTGATGCACAAATACATCCCATACATTCATTTTGGAGTTTAGCCTATGAATTCAGCAAAGGCATTTAAAGGAAAAAAACATGCAAAATCAGCTACTGGGGAATCTAACTATGAAGTTATTCCAACTGAGACTATCAACATTTTATTAAAAAAGAAAGTTAAAGGAATGTAAATATTAATATTGGATCAGAGATGATTTCTGTTAAACATTTTGATGATACCTGAAGAGCAGATTTTACATGAAGTCCAGAACTGCTTCTCTCAAGTACTGAAGGTTGTGATGGTAACAGTCCACGTCCCTATTAGATTAAAAAAAAAAAAAACTTGTGGATATTCTTATGAAATCAAAAAGCTGAATGAAACTAATTTAATCATTTCAAACTGGGCAGATTAAATTTTACTTAGAGGCAGATTGTAAAGGCAACAAAATTGAAATCTTTTCTCCAATATACATCAAGGAAATAAAATTTATCTATTTAAACGTATAAAATTATTTGTTTTTAAACATATGAAATTATTTGTCACTTTCAGCTTGATACTCTGGTATATAGAATATAATAAAAATTACACATACATATACTTCAAACAGAATTTACCAGTAGAATTTTAACACAACGAGAAAACCTAACTGATTTTAAACAGTAAAACCAAGAACAAGCAAACATAAATCAAAGGTCATGCCAAAAAGAAATATCTTGAGCTGGTGCCTAAAAAGCAGCAATGGAAATATCTCTCAAATCTGTGAGAAGACAACCATTTGTCCAAAAGAATGAAACATAATTTATATTAATCACATAAACTGATTAGACTTTAATTGATAATGAATAGAATTTAATTGGGAAATGATTGTCATTAGAATAAGCTTTATTTGGGTTATTCAAAGCTTTAAACATTTAATCAAGAATGTTTAATACTTTTGAGAGTATTAACCCTAAACATAACTGACTACTGATAACTTTACTGATCAATGGAGTAAGATCAGATTTAATTCCTCTTGGAAGAGAGAGGAAAAAATATTTTTTACTGCAAGTTTCTCAAACTAACAATAGATAGAAATGGAATTCTGTTTGCGACAGTAAATGCCACCTGTAGCATGAAAAGAATTGCAAATTCAGACATTTGGTATATGTGCTTATCTGAGGAAAAAAAATGTTTGGACCAATTTGTTCTTTAGGAACTATGTGGTGTCTAAAGAGATAGCAACAAGACATACCTGGTCAAACTGACTGCTTTTATTATATGTTCCTTTTGATCCAACTGATGGCAAAGGAGCAGATGATTTAGGCTCTTCTATATCTTTCTTGTCCAGATCTTTAGTAGATTCATTACTGCATAAAACACGTTAACAGAAACATACTTTGCATATAATTTTTATGTCAAACACATTTTAAAATCTTTGTACTAATTTCATAAATATTGCATTACTAAGGCAGCCCTGTCAAGGTTTATAAGTTAGCTGAAAATGGAACCATGAGCTAAAACCAAGGTAGAAAAACAAAGTGAACATAATGAGAAGCATACACAGATTACAATTATATTTATTTATGAGATGCATAGACTGCCTTTTATTCAGGAGGCTAAGGCAGCATACCTATTGTTCCCTCCTTCACAACAACGTTCCTGAGAAAGAGGTTAGGTTGAGAGAAGGTGACTGGCCCAAAGGCATTGAGTGAGCATCAGTGGCTGATGGACTAGAACCTGGGTCTCTCTACTCCTAGTCCAACACCTTAATTGCTATACCACACTAGTTCTCAAATGCTATGAATTAGACTAGATGGATAACAGTGACATGCTCAAAATTACTTAGCAAATTTAAGCACTACAGCTAAACAGATATTTATACCCGGTAGGTAGCTATGTACTATATCACAATGGCAAACTGATGCAAACATTATACATTATACAACTCAAAGACTAGGAGATGATTTTTATATTTTCTGTATCAATACATTACCTGCTTTCCTGTTCTTTCTGATTACTTCCCTGGTCATCATCATCACTGAAGTTCAACTGTTCAGTATAATCTACTTCACTTTGAGCTCCTAAAGTAACAAATTGGAGATTAGAATAGTGAATACTTTTTTCTGTATACAATTTTAGTTCAAGGTTTATAAGATCCATATGCTTACCAGCCCAGCCCTCATCCGCTTCAGCATCTAAATTATCAAATTTATCAAGTTCTTTGAGTTCATTGGCACTTAGGATGGATGGACGTTCTACAGTTTCTGAGTTCCATGAAGAAGGCCCCCTTCCCCTTGGGCCTCTAGAAAAAGAAGAAATATGTATCACATTTGGATTTAAACCTCAGAAATTGATGCTTAGGTTAGTTAACAAATGAGACAAATTACGCTATTAGATTGGATTACTTTCATACAGCATGTTCAAGCAGAGATTGGACAGCAATCTATTGGGGAATGCTTTAATCTGAGTTCTTGCATGGAGCAGGGAGTCAGACCTCAGTGGCCTAAATAGACCCTTCCAATTTAATGGTTATATGATTAATTTAACTCAATACTGAAAAATACTCTAAATTTTTAAATTACTAGAAACTAAAATCAAATTTAAGAAGTCAGGTGGAGAAAAAGCTAAAATCCTTGGTGCCAGCATATACATTTTTAAATGTCTAGGATCCTCTTAGCCTGCTTATACATTTCAGCCATATAATGTACTGTAAATGCACAATGTATAACGTTCTGACTTTAAACATTAAGCAAATCTAGTTCTACTATCAAATGCAAACTAATTTTGGAACAAAGCAAGCAAAGCAATTGGCTTTCTCACCTGTTGCTCTCAGGTGGGGCAGGAAATCTGCTGGGACCTGCCATTGGTGGATATGCTAGTTTAGGGTACTGATTAAGCATCTAAAGAAAAAGAAACTAGATCTGTAAGAACTACATTTATATGGCAGGCATACATAAAGATACATTATAGGAATATATAAATGCCATGCATAATGCCAACTGTAACCAAAGCAATGATAAATAGGCTCTTGTATAAAAATTATTAAACTTAAAGCTATTTAAGACTTTAAAAGGTTGAGTTTACTGAATTTATATAGCGAAATTATGCAAAAGTATATCATCTTGAAATTCTGTGGTTCCTCTAAGCATGTATTTTGCATTTCACACTATTTCACACTATTTTGGCTATATTTAAACAATTACACATCACCTTATCAAGAAGAAAGAGGATTAATAATTAGTTAGCACATACAGTCCCTTTGGTGATCCCTTCACACTTTCAGCTGAATCAGAAGAGACTGATAAATCATAGGTTCCCAAGGTGAATAAAATGGGAAACAAGAATCACCAGCTTAAGAAAGTATCAGGATGTTAAACCACAGTATGAAGCTGATTTTGTATTTTTGCCTGTTCTGAGGTTTGATTATTTTCCTGACATGTTTGGTCCAGTGAAATACTTTGCAGAAGTATGATTAATTGAAATATTTCTATCATAACTGCTCAGTCAACCAGGGAAGGAACACACGGGCTGTCTGTATGAGCAAAATAACTACTCATATCTTAGAATATTAAGCTAAGAAACAAAAGTCAGAATTTGCTAGAAACATGAATAGTTTCTGGCTTAATACTCTTTACAGGCTAACTGCAATTAATACAACTGAAGAACATTTCTGATATCTCATGCAGCCAAATTATAAATCATAATAGATTAAGAGCTCCAAAACAGCCTGCTCTATTTTCTTAATGAAGTTTTAAAGCAAACTATGACAATTAAGACAAAAACAAAATGTTATCAATTATTGCAAAGATGCACAGACTTTGTTCTTGGGTAGAAATGAAAAGTTGCAGAAAAAGATAGATTGGTTTCTTCTTGTTGACTTCTGATCTAGTGGTTGGAGGATCTGTTCTGTCCTTTACTAAGCCTCAAAATAATGGGCATGAGCTAGACATTGGAGGCAATTTATACATTCATGTATTTCAATTTTTCCAAAATTTTAGTTTTTTTACTACAACCCCCCCCCCCCAAAAGCCTCTTTTCCCCCAACCTTTTAAATCAAAAAAAAAGTTTATAATCTTTTCTT